CTACTTGTTGTCCAGCTGCTACCAAACATCTCCTCATGTTTGTAAGTCGCCGATTGTAATGAGATTACTTTAACACTTGGATTTTATTTGACTGATGTTAATAAATAATAATAAATAAACATTGTCTTGATTATAAACAAACAACCACATTCTTGGTTCATAGGAGCTGCTGCTGGTCCGTCATTAATCAATTAAGAGCAAACGGTGTATTTATTGTCCTGCACGTCCAGTTCAGGTAAACAAATGAAGTAGTTTGTGTTTGTAAAAGTGTTCAAGCCGCTTCAAGGAGGTTAAAGACGGTTCTGGTTGCAGAACAAACATGCAGCCGGTGGACCTGGTGGGTGGAGAGAAGACGTCGGGCTCCTCCGTCCTCTCCACCTTCTGAGGCTGACTGAGGGACGAGGGGGCGGGAGGTGAAAGGACCAAGACCAAGGAGAGAAGAAGGAGAAGGAGAAGGAAAGCGTCCCAACACTCACGACTGACAGATAAATAATAAACCTGTTCCCACTGATGCGTCTCTACGTTAACGTTGCAGAGATTTGAGGAAACACGGAGCGTCCTGCAGCTTCTAGACCAGATTTAACACGAATCACTTTTTGTTTTCAGTCCGATTGAAAGGAAACGCAGATATCAGAGGTCTGGAACGAACACTTAACGAGCTGCATCAGAGGTTTAACGACGGAAACCTGAACCTAATCTAAACCTGTCAACGGATTTATCTAAACTCTATCACATAGCTGCAGATTATACCTCAGACAAACATGACGCCTTTAAATGCGTCGTTTTGTTCGACTAACATGAAAATATTTTTAAAAACTCTTTACTTCCACGACTGTGTTCAGCCATGTGTGATATTTAAAAGGTGCAACATCAGTTTAGATGGTTTTCATTATTCTTAATAGACCAAATAAACCACTAACAACAACCTACATCACTGTTTTCACAGGTTGCTTTATTTTAAACTATATTTTCATAAATTCTATTTTTATTTTATTGTTTAAACGCTGGCTGCTCAACGTCAACAAAACATTTATGTACTTTTCTTTCTTCTGGAGGCTGGAACCAGACATCACGTTTTGTCACTTTAGCTTAAAAACGACCAAATTAAAACAGTTTCCGAATCAATTTTCTCTCTAATCTCAGTTTAACGGCGCTCTAATCGATGAAACTCCTCGATGCCGTCGGCGTGGGCGTTGGGACGAGCAACGAAACGAAAAACAAGACGACAGAGAAGCTGAAGGGAAGAACAGAACATCTGATGACGAGGAGAGAAAATGAAAACAAACAGAATCCAGGAGACAATAAAAAGAAGGAAATAAGGTGGATCATGTCGGGGAGAGGAGGAGGACGAAGCCTTAACATTAATGGATTACATCCCATCTAACCCGACTTTAAACATCATCACCTCGGTTTAATGAAGAGTCACATCGTCCTCGTCTTTCTCACCTGAGCCGTCGTCTCTGAGGCATCTGCTGGTCCAGGTCTCTCTGCTGCCGCTCCTCTCTCGTCATTCCTTTGTAGTTGGACGTCAGGCCGAAGATGGGCCGCGACCATTCGTCTGAACACGACAACCACACAGTTTACGTCTCATTCACTGTCGGTCAAGTTTTCAATCTAAAGTCCTGCATCGACGGAAACGACCGTCTTCTGTCAGAACAACAGGAATCAGAAAATATTTTACATTTATGTTACGAAAATTAAAGCAAAAACCCAGAATCGACACGTCCGACATTTTCCAGAGTTTCTACGGGTGTCATAACGAACTACGTCCACATGCTGCTGATATTTAACGACTTAGATTTTAGTTTTCTGTGTGTGAACACTGGCTGCAGTTCAACCGAAACATTTAAGACGTTACTCAGTCGCACCGGTTTTTTATTTTGTTTACAGACTCTGGCACAGATTTGCTCATCCCACAGACAGAATAAAGTAAAAAGTTTATTAAATATCACGATTTTTTAACTTAAATGTGGTTAATTTTCTTGGTTAAAACTGCAGGTCAGACATGAGTAGTTCAAGGGCTGTTGGACAGCTGAATATCCAACGATTCGCTCTTTTTTGTGGCTGATAAATGGAATTTGTAAAAAGAAAAACATCCCTTTTATAGCTGCTGGTGTGATTTATTTAATTTAAAGAGCCGCTGACGTAGCTAGCTTTAGCCAAATTTCATCTATCTTTATTATTTCTTCACCACCATGAACTGATTTAACTGCTTTCTTACTTAATTGCTTGAAATAAAAAACAGAAATGTGACTTATTTTAATGGGTATTTTTCATTTACAGATAAGAATCGAAGGCAGATCTGTCACTGACGTTAGCTTTAGCAACGGCTAGCAGCTACCGTCGCTAACTCTGATTGCCAATAAATTAATTTCCGTCTTTCCTGACATCAATTTTAATCGTCTAGAAGGTAATGCAAAGACTTTTTATCAGGAACATACTTCCAATACGTTACGGGCTGCCTTCTAAACTGCCTACAGGTGCTACGCTCGGTGCAGAGTCGGCTGAAGGTGTTTTATGAAGCAGCTTTGCTTACTGATGAGTTTGAGGGCGAGGTCTTTGTTGGACCGAGACTCTTTGGGGTGCTTGTACAGAAACATGACGGCCCGGCCGATGCCGCTGTGCTTCAGGGTTTCCTGGCTGACGCTGGGCAGCTGCAAGAGGAAACACAACGTCAGACACTGAACTGTCAGAGCAGCGCTAAAGGTTCGCCTCCATCCAGACTCACCTCCTGCAGGATCCGGAGCAGCTCCTCCCGGATCCTCAGGGCCGGCAGAGATTTGTCCGGGAGAGGACTGATCCACTCTTTGATGGCCGACATCACGCCGCTGTCGATGAAGGTCTCCTTCAAGTCCTGTCTGAGGGACGAACAACCACATAGATGCTTAGTTAGCTTCTTTCTTTGAATTAAGCTGCATAGTTAGCGTCTTTCTCTAAGTTAAGCTGCATAATTAGCTTCTTTTTATGAATTTAGCTTCATAGTTAGCTTCTTACAAGGACTTTAGCTGCACAGTTAGCTTCTTTCTTTGAATTTAGCTGCATAGTTAGTGTCTTTCTCTAAGTTCAGCTGCAGTTAGCTCTTTCTACAACTTTAGCTGTGTAATTAACGCTTCCTGTGACTTTAGCCATGCAGTTAGCGTCTTTCTACAGATTTAGCAGCGCAGTTAGCATCTTTCTGTAACTCTAGCGCTGTAGCTAGCTTCTTCCAGTAATTTCAGCCATACAGCTAGTTTCTTTTTGTGACAAAAACTAAAACACTAACTCAACTCTCAAAACTAGTCAACATAAAAATATGTGAGAAGTAAATCCCTGAGCTCTCACTTCTTGAGGTGCATGACGACTTGAGGCAGCAGCGTGAGCTTCTTCAGCGCCGGTTTCTTCTGGCTGTTCAGAGTTCGATCCTCCTGTTGAGGAACAAACACACGGTCAGCGGAGAGAACGCCACGCGGGGAGGGCTTTTATTTTGGCGGGCAGGAAGTCTGACCTCGGCGGCCTCGTTCATCTTGGTGATCATGGCGCTGACCACGTCGTCGGCGTCGCTGATGAACGTTCCTCCGTCGCGGTGCCGCCTCTTCCTGCTGTTCATGGCCTTCCTCCGGGCGAGCATGATGTCGAAGTCGGACATGAAGCTGGTGCTGAACGCACAGAATGCACAGATTAGAGCACGAAGCAAAGACGTCGAACAAACAGGAAGCAACGTCACTGATCAGAAGTCGTACTCTTGGCCGCTGCGGTCGACGCCTTCGTCCGAGTCGGACTCTTCCTCCATCTGCTGCTGCTTCTCCTTCGCCTGCTTCTTGTCTCCTTCCAGATCCTCCTGATTGAAACCCTGAAGGACACAGCAGACAGCTTCAGCTCGATCTGTTCTCTCAGTGATGGACTTTAAGCCCCACAAACTGTAGCGACTCCGTTAGCCGAAGCTAATGCTAGTTTTACACACAACAGCGTACAGGATTTAATCAGGGATTTTACATATTCAGTACAACATCATGTTTGTGATGAATGTGAACTAGTTTTTAATGTTTTTACTGAAAATGAAACGTCTGAAATCATTCATGCAGCAGTGACACGTCATGTTAGAGATGCTAATCAGACATTAGATCCATTTCTAAGTTTGTTTTTTTATTAATTAACTCTCACTGATGGACTTGTTTAACGAAGTCTATTTAATGCTCATTAATTGTGCGTCGTCTCTACAAACAGAAACTAAACGTGGAGTCGCTCGTTACCGTGAACTCTTCCTCCTCCTCGTCTCCGGACTCTCCGAAGATGTCGGCGATCATTTTCCTGCAACGAAACAACAGCAGCGGCTCAGACTGTTGATGTGACTGAACAAAAACATGCATATAAACAATGTGGACTATAATCAGAGAGGTTCTGGTTCTGGTGGTAAATCTGATTAAAATAAGCCGTTTAATTCCTATGAAGCGTCTTTAAAGTTGGACAAATTCACTGTAGAAAGGTAAAAGAAGAAAAACATGAAAAAACTGGAATCAACTTTTCCAGCCTCTTTTCTTTTTTTTTTATTAAGTGTGTAAACATGAGATCTTTACATACTGCAGATGTTTAACTACTTTGGTTTGACTCGTTTCCTCTCTGCTCTGACTAAACACTGCCTGCAGTTCAACTGAAAACTGGATGTTTATCACGTTGCTGTTGGTCACAGCTGAGTCACTCTTTGTTTTTTAACAGAATCCAGTGCACATTTTTTACATTAAACATGTAAAATTAAGTGAAATTTGAGGATTTTCGGTTTAGAATTGGTTCAGTTTGTTGATTAAACGAATTAAAAACTGCGCTGGTGGACGTCGCCCAGCGTGCTCCTGGATCCTGCTGGTAAAACTGGTTGTTTTATTGTATTTTAAAGTCTTTAAATTCTCTGTAAATTGTCTCATATGTGGTATTAATCATTTCTCAAACCTAAGCAGGCATCAGAACGGTCTATGGAAGTTTTCTGGTTTCTGTATTTGTGAGGTTTATCCAGATTAACTCACTCCTCCTCGTCTCCGGACTCGCTGTCGCTGCCGAACAGCGCCTTCTCGTCCTTCTGGCCGGCCGCCGCCTTCGCCCGCTCGTCCTCGTCGCTCTCGCTGTCCGAGCCGAGCTCCTTCAGTTTGGCCGCCAGGCTCTTGTCCGGACCCATGAAGCCGCCGTCGCTGTCCGAGTTCTCGTCGTCCGACACCGCCCGACTCCGCTTCACCGCTGAGGAGACAAACGCACCAGACGGATGATGATCAGAAGAACGTGGACGGTTTGTGTAGCTGCAGCTTTAAATCAATCACAGGATGAAGAGGAGCTTTTTCCAACACGGACATTAATCTCCATTTAAAGAAAAACATGTTTAAATTAGTCAAAACAAAATAATTTAAATTTTTAATTTAAAAACTCTCAGAACGTTTTACACGTCTGAAAACATCCAACGTGAATCATTTTAGAATTTCTGTTCAGTTCCTTTGAAATCTGGAAACAAAAAGCAAAAAATCTTCTTAAACAGATGTTAAAAATAAACATTTAAACAAAAAATTTACGTTTTTCTACATTTTAGCCCCAAAATTCTCATTTTTACTGCAAAAAAAGTGCATCAGCTCCAAGAAAACCTCCTGAAGCTCCGTGTTGTTGATTAGCTCAGAGACATGTGGAGCTTGTTCATTCATTTTTCTAATTAATCATCATATTTAGGTGTTTTAGTTTTTTCTCTGTTAACATAAATGAAGGAGGCAGAACACGAGGATCTCCTCTGAACATGACGTTAAAACATCTAGAACAGAATTACTAACCTGGTTTGTCGTCTTTGTCCTCGTCTTCGTCCTCGCTGTCTGACAGGATGGCCTTCTTCCTCTTCACTGCAAACACACACATTAACAGATATAAACACTTTTCTGCAGCTGTAAGGACGTAATTCAACAAGTTTCTCACTGACATTCAGATCAAACAATTACCGAAACTCAGAGGAGATTAAATTAATTTACTTTAAAACCGTTTCGTCTGTGATTATCACCTTTAGATCAGTTCATTATAAAACCACCTCATCCTTCGTTTAGAGCTGCCTCCGTTTGTGTATTAAAGTTAAAACCTTGTGAGGATTTGCTGCTTTTTCAGCCTCATCATGTGATTCTGTGTGAACTGAATTCTTTAGACTCCTCTTGTTCTTTAAGAACAAATAATCAGCCAATGAATAAACACTGAAGAGAGCCGTTAGGTTCAACGACAAAAATGTCTCCTGACTGTAGAAAAATGCCTCGGCTTGTGTTTACTTCTTTACACCAATCACAACTGTCCGGGGGCGGAGCTAAGCCCAGGATGCAGGTACGGTGTCCTTGTGAAACGGTGAAATGTCCAACAGATGACTCCAGAGAGGAATGCTGGTAGAAAAATTTTCCTTCTCGATGCAGCAGTTTGTTTCCAACTTAATTAGAGTTCTGACTCTTTAAACTTCATTAACTCAAACATGATGCTCAACATTTTCGTCCAACACGTTCCCACGATGAATGATACGTGGAAGTCATTTGTTCCTGATCGAGTATTCTCTGTGATCAATACAGACACACTCATCTCTTTTCTAATCTGATCTATCAGCTGCAGCACCGGCCGTGTGCTGAAACCTTGTGTATTTTCAGCATCGCCAGCTGAATGCTTGTAGGTTCCTGTGGCAACACAACTCACGCAGCGTACTGCAACAGCACGGCCTCAATTAGTGGGATTAATAACGAACAGCATGACAGCTTGACAGATAAAACCTCAGCTGAGGATCTGAATCACTCAGAGAATCATCAGGAGAAGAGCTGATGAGAGAGAGACGCTTCAAACATTCAGTAAATCTGAAACTCTGAACTGAACCTGCTTAGCANGTTTGGGTTCAGAGCAGCTCCGATGGTTCCGTCCAGAACCTGAGGCGTGAACTCACTTCTCCTCTCCGGTCAGCTGCTTCTCCAGGTCTCTGCGAGGCGTCTGACCTCCGGAGCTGCAGACAGAAACAAACATGGACACGTTGGTTAGAACCTTCAAACCGGGTCTGAGGGACGGACCGGGCTCATGCTGTTACGTGAAGGTCCACCTCAGAGCAGGTTAGTCAGCAGCTGGTCTCTCCAGACCCGGGTCAGGAGCCTCACTGAGTCTGGATGCCGGTACCAGCGAGTCTCAGACTGGGTCCCAGTTAAAAAGCACTGAACTGACTCCAGTAAGAGCCTCAGACACACACAGTCCTGTTTAAGCCTCGGTGCAGCAGCGCCCCCTGCTGGCTGCTCACAGGAAACAAACCACCCCTTAAATACTTCATCATCTAAATACTGTTTAAAGATTTGCAAGAGTTTTAAGGGTTTATTCAACCCCAAATACAGCTTTCTGTCCAAATACGTATAGTTTTAAAGGTTTATTCCACCAAAAACACTCGTCACTGTCCAAATAATGATCATTTTAAAGGTTTAATTCACTCAAAACACTTGAAAACTTCTAACTTTGGAAGTTTATTCGACCTAAAATTATACTTTCTGTCCAAACACCTTTACTTTTAAAGGTTTACTCCCACCAAAGTACTACTTCCTGTTTAAATACTTGCAGTTTTTAAAGTTTACTCAACCTAAAATCATACTTTCTTTCCAAATAACTACTTTAAAAGGTTTATTTCAGCCAAAATAACACACCTGTAGTTTTAAAGGTTTAGTCCACACAAAAATCTATTTTTTTGTTCAAATATTTACAGGTTTAAAATATTACTTACTGTCCAAATAATCCACCCAATGTACTACTTTGCAAGCAAATACGTGCAGTTTTAAAGGTTTATTCCACTAAAAATACTACTTCCTGTTTAAATACTTCCAGTTTTGAAAGTTTGTTGGACCCAAAATAATACTTTCTTTCCAAATACTTGTAGTTTTAAAGGTTTATTCCCATCAAAATACTACTTGTTGTCCAGCTGCTACCAAACATCTCCTCATGTTTGTAAGTCGCCGATTGTAATGAGATTACTTTAACACTTGGATTTTATTTGACTGATGTTAATAAATAATAATAAATAAACATTGTCTTGATTATAAACAAACAACCACATTCTTGGTTCATAGGAGCTGCTGCTGGTCCGTCATTAATCAATTAAGAGCAAACGGTGTATTTATTGTCCTGCACGTCCAGTTCAGGTAAACAAATGAAGTAGTTTGTGTTTGTAAAAGTGTTCAAGCCGCTTCAAGGAGGTTAAAGACGGTTCTGGTTGCAGAACAAACATGCAGCCGGTGGACCTGGTGGGTGGAGAGAAGACGTCGGGCTCCTCCGTCCTCTCCACCTTCTGAGGCTGACTGAGGGACGAGGGGGCGGGAGGTGAAAGGACCAAGACCAAGGAGAGAAGAAGGAGAAGGAGAAGGAAAGCGTCCCAACACTCACGACTGACAGATAAATAATAAACCTGTTCCCACTGATGCGTCTCTACGTTAACGTTGCAGAGATTTGAGGAAACACGGAGCGTCCTGCAGCTTCTAGACCAGATTTAACACGAATCACTTTTTGTTTTCAGTCCGATTGAAAGGAAACGCAGATATCAGAGGTCTGGAACGAACACTTAACGAGCTGCATCAGAGGTTTAACGACGGAAACCTGAACCTAATCTAAACCTGTCAACGGATTTATCTAAACTCTATCACATAGCTGCAGATTATACCTCAGACAAACATGACGCCTTTAAATGCGTCGTTTTGTTCGACTAACATGAAAATATTTTTAAAAACTCTTTACTTCCACGACTGTGTTCAGCCATGTGTGATATTTAAAAGGTGCAACATCAGTTTAGATGGTTTTCATTATTCTTAATAGACCAAATAAACCACTAACAACAACCTACATCACTGTTTTCACAGGTTGCTTTATTTTAAACTATATTTTCATAAATTCTATTTTTATTTTATTGTTTAAACGCTGGCTGCTCAACGTCAACAAAACATTTATGTACTTTTCTTTCTTCTGGAGGCTGGAACCAGACATCACGTTTTGTCACTTTAGCTTAAAAACGACCAAATTAAAACAGTTTCCGAATCAATTTTCTCTCTAATCTCAGTTTAACGGCGCTCTAATCGATGAAACTCCTCGATGCCGTCGGCGTGGGCGTTGGGACGAGCAACGAAACGAAAAACAAGACGACAGAGAAGCTGAAGGGAAGAACAGAACATCTGATGACGAGGAGAGAAAATGAAAACAAACAGAATCCAGGAGACAATAAAAAGAAGGAAATAAGGTGGATCATGTCGGGGAGAGGAGGAGGACGAAGCCTTAACATTAATGGATTACATCCCATCTAACCCGACTTTAAACATCATCACCTCGGTTTAATGAAGAGTCACATCGTCCTCGTCTTTCTCACCTGAGCCGTCGTCTCTGAGGCATCTGCTGGTCCAGGTCTCTCTGCTGCCGCTCCTCTCTCGTCATTCCTTTGTAGTTGGACGTCAGGCCGAAGATGGGCCGCGACCATTCGTCTGAACACGACAACCACACAGTTTACGTCTCATTCACTGTCGGTCAAGTTTTCAATCTAAAGTCCTGCATCGACGGAAACGACCGTCTTCTGTCAGAACAACAGGAATCAGAAAATATTTTACATTTATGTTACGAAAATTAAAGCAAAAACCCAGAATCGACACGTCCGACATTTTCCAGAGTTTCTACGGGTGTCATAACGAACTACGTCCACATGCTGCTGATATTTAACGACTTAGATTTTAGTTTTCTGTGTGTGAACACTGGCTGCAGTTCAACCGAAACATTTAAGACGTTACTCAGTCGCACCGGTTTTTTATTTTGTTTACAGACTCTGGCACAGATTTGCTCATCCCACAGACAGAATAAAGTAAAAAGTTTATTAAATATCACGATTTTTTAACTTAAATGTGGTTAATTTTCTTGGTTAAAACTGCAGGTCAGACATGAGTAGTTCAAGGGCTGTTGGACAGCTGAATATCCAACGATTCGCTCTTTTTTGTGGCTGATAAATGGAATTTGTAAAAAGAAAAACATCCCTTTTATAGCTGCTGGTGTGATTTATTTAATTTAAAGAGCCGCTGACGTAGCTAGCTTTAGCCAAATTTCATCTATCTTTATTATTTCTTCACCACCATGAACTGATTTAACTGCTTTCTTACTTAATTGCTTGAAATAAAAAACAGAAATGTGACTTATTTTAATGGGTATTTTTCATTTACAGATAAGAATCGAAGGCAGATCTGTCACTGACGTTAGCTTTAGCAACGGCTAGCAGCTACCGTCGCTAACTCTGATTGCCAATAAATTAATTTCCGTCTTTCCTGACATCAATTTTAATCGTCTAGAAGGTAATGCAAAGACTTTTTATCAGGAACATACTTCCAATACGTTACGGGCTGCCTTCTAAACTGCCTACAGGTGCTACGCTCGGTGCAGAGTCGGCTGAAGGTGTTTTATGAAGCAGCTTTGCTTACTGATGAGTTTGAGGGCGAGGTCTTTGTTGGACCGAGACTCTTTGGGGTGCTTGTACAGAAACATGACGGCCCGGCCGATGCCGCTGTGCTTCAGGGTTTCCTGGCTGACGCTGGGCAGCTGCAAGAGGAAACACAACGTCAGACACTGAACTGTCAGAGCAGCGCTAAAGGTTCGCCTCCATCCAGACTCACCTCCTGCAGGATCCGGAGCAGCTCCTCCCGGATCCTCAGGGCCGGCAGAGATTTGTCCGGGAGAGGACTGATCCACTCTTTGATGGCCGACATCACGCCGCTGTCGATGAAGGTCTCCTTCAAGTCCTGTCTGAGGGACGAACAACCACATAGATGCTTAGTTAGCTTCTTTCTTTGAATTAAGCTGCATAGTTAGCGTCTTTCTCTAAGTTAAGCTGCATAATTAGCTTCTTTTTATGAATTTAGCTTCATAGTTAGCTTCTTACAAGGACTTTAGCTGCACAGTTAGCTTCTTTCTTTGAATTTAGCTGCATAGTTAGTGTCTTTCTCTAAGTTCAGCTGCAGTTAGCTCTTTCTACAACTTTAGCTGTGTAATTAACGCTTCCTGTGACTTTAGCCATGCAGTTAGCGTCTTTCTACAGATTTAGCAGCGCAGTTAGCATCTTTCTGTAACTCTAGCGCTGTAGCTAGCTTCTTCCAGTAATTTCAGCCATACAGCTAGTTTCTTTTTGTGACAAAAACTAAAACACTAACTCAACTCTCAAAACTAGTCAACATAAAAATATGTGAGAAGTAAATCCCTGAGCTCTCACTTCTTGAGGTGCATGACGACTTGAGGCAGCAGCGTGAGCTTCTTCAGCGCCGGTTTCTTCTGGCTGTTCAGAGTTCGATCCTCCTGTTGAGGAACAAACACACGGTCAGCGGAGAGAACGCCACGCGGGGAGGGCTTTTATTTTGGCGGGCAGGAAGTCTGACCTCGGCGGCCTCGTTCATCTTGGTGATCATGGCGCTGACCACGTCGTCGGCGTCGCTGATGAACGTTCCTCCGTCGCGGTGCCGCCTCTTCCTGCTGTTCATGGCCTTCCTCCGGGCGAGCATGATGTCGAAGTCGGACATGAAGCTGGTGCTGAACGCACAGAATGCACAGATTAGAGCACGAAGCAAAGACGTCGAACAAACAGGAAGCAACGTCACTGATCAGAAGTCGTACTCTTGGCCGCTGCGGTCGACGCCTTCGTCCGAGTCGGACTCTTCCTCCATCTGCTGCTGCTTCTCCTTCGCCTGCTTCTTGTCTCCTTCCAGATCCTCCTGATTGAAACCCTGAAGGACACAGCAGACAGCTTCAGCTCGATCTGTTCTCTCAGTGATGGACTTTAAGCCCCACAAACTGTAGCGACTCCGTTAGCCGAAGCTAATGCTAGTTTTACACACAACAGCGTACAGGATTTAATCAGGGATTTTACATATTCAGTACAACATCATGTTTGTGATGAATGTGAACTAGTTTTTAATGTTTTTACTGAAAATGAAACGTCTGAAATCATTCATGCAGCAGTGACACGTCATGTTAGAGATGCTAATCAGACATTAGATCCATTTCTAAGTTTGTTTTTTTATTAATTAACTCTCACTGATGGACTTGTTTAACGAAGTCTATTTAATGCTCATTAATTGTGCGTCGTCTCTACAAACAGAAACTAAACGTGGAGTCGCTCGTTACCGTGAACTCTTCCTCCTCCTCGTCTCCGGACTCTCCGAAGATGTCGGCGATCATTTTCCTGCAACGAAACAACAGCAGCGGCTCAGACTGTTGATGTGACTGAACAAAAACATGCATATAAACAATGTGGACTATAATCAGAGAGGTTCTGGTTCTGGTGGTAAATCTGATTAAAATAAGCCGTTTAATTCCTATGAAGCGTCTTTAAAGTTGGACAAATTCACTGTAGAAAGGTAAAAGAAGAAAAACATGAAAAAACTGGAATCAACTTTTCCAGCCTCTTTTCTTTTTTTTTTATTAAGTGTGTAAACATGAGATCTTTACATACTGCAGATGTTTAACTACTTTGGTTTGACTCGTTTCCTCTCTGCTCTGACTAAACACTGCCTGCAGTTCAACTGAAAACTGGATGTTTATCACGTTGCTGTTGGTCACAGCTGAGTCACTCTTTGTTTTTTAACAGAATCCAGTGCACATTTTTTACATTAAACATGTAAAATTAAGTGAAATTTGAGGATTTTCGGTTTAGAATTGGTTCAGTTTGTTGATTAAACGAATTAAAAACTGCGCTGGTGGACGTCGCCCAGCGTGCTCCTGGATCCTGCTGGTAAAACTGGTTGTTTTATTGTATTTTAAAGTCTTTAAATTCTCTGTAAATTGTCTCATATGTGGTATTAATCATTTCTCAAACCTAAGCAGGCATCAGAACGGTCTATGGAAGTTTTCTGGTTTCTGTATTTGTGAGGTTTATCCAGATTAACTCACTCCTCCTCGTCTCCGGACTCGCTGTCGCTGCCGAACAGCGCCTTCTCGTCCTTCTGGCCGGCCGCCGCCTTCGCCCGCTCGTCCTCGTCGCTCTCGCTGTCCGAGCCGAGCTCCTTCAGTTTGGCCGCCAGGCTCTTGTCCGGACCCATGAAGCCGCCGTCGCTGTCCGAGTTCTCGTCGTCCGACACCGCCCGACTCCGCTTCACCGCTGAGGAGACAAACGCACCAGACGGATGATGATCAGAAGAACGTGGACGGTTTGTGTAGCTGCAGCTTTAAATCAATCACAGGATGAAGAGGAGCTTTTTCCAACACGGACATTAATCTCCATTTAAAGAAAAACATGTTTAAATTAGTCAAAACAAAATAATTTAAATTTTTAATTTAAAAACTCTCAGAACGTTTTACACGTCTGAAAACATCCAACGTGAATCATTTTAGAATTTCTGTTCAGTTCCTTTGAAATCTGGAAACAAAAAGCAAAAAATCTTCTTAAACAGATGTTAAAAATAAACATTTAAACAAAAAATTTACGTTTTTCTACATTTTAGCCCCAAAATTCTCATTTTTACTGCAAAAAAAGTGCATCAGCTCCAAGAAAACCTCCTGAAGCTCCGTGTTGTTGATTAGCTCAGA